CGCCGAAGACGTAGTCACTCAAGTTCTACAGTGTCAATTGGACCAATGGACAACTAATTTTAAATTTCGTTGTGTCTTTTTTTTCTCTAAAGCCGGGAGTGTGCTAAATCGCACTCTTCTGATGGTGATTCACCGGGGAATGTGCATTGCATCCCCCGCAATCACTTTCTTTTATTAAATTCTTTATCATGTAACCAGTATAAAAGCCCCTCTATTGTATCATTCTAGATCGTTCAATAAACCAATATAGCTTCTAAAACATGGTGCATCATGGGTTGAAAATCCCGGTCGCTCAAAGTCCCGCGTGGCATTCTACATTGGTACCTCTATACTCCTATTACTCGCTGTTGCAATATTCACTACTGTATCGCAAGCGGGATGCACATTACGAGACGTATGCAGTAGAATCATGTCACACCTTCGAAACCAGACATGATTGGCAGCTCCTGATATAGTCAACAAAGTCATTGGCATACTTGAGACTTGGGGAGCTGGTGGACACAGGATTAGCAGGTCCTCCACAGGATTAGCAGGTCTTTGTTGCTCAAGTATGCCAATGACTTTGTTGACTAAATCAGGAGCTGCCAATCATGTCTGGTACTGCATGCCGCTTGCGATACAGTAGTGAATATTGCACACACAACGAATGGGGTAATTATGCAGGATGGAACAGTTGATGCGGAGACTGAGTACTGGTAGAACATCGGGAACCACTGGAACTAAAACAAAGAAAAACAAAAAGAAGACGAAGAAGAAGACTACCAAGGAGACTTCTGGATCTGCTTCCAGTGGTGTTTAATACTTGTTATTTCTTTTTTTTCAAACTTTATTCAGAAGTGAGCAATAAATGCAGAGGTTTTTTATTGTGTACATTTTTCTGCTAATTAAATCTAGAGAGCTGAAACAGAGACCAGTCAAGTTTGAGCAATTTTTCTGTGCTCCTATGAAAGATACCAAAAATGTGCCAACCGATAACAATAACGTATTTTTCAGTAGGTTTTGACCGTTTTCAGGAGTCTGAAGCTCGGCTGTTAAGCTTCTGATCAGGCTAAACTTGTGGGACTCCTGAAAAAAACTTTAAAAAACTCCTATCCACCCTCCTTTAAAATTGGCTCAAGTATTCAAAACCTAGCCTTCTGACCAGTACACTAAATGCCACACTTTAGTACCCTAGGTCTTTAGAATGTGTGGAAACAGTCAGTTCGAGATTTCTTCAAGAACTCAAAACCGTCAAGAATGGTATTTGGTTTGATTGTAAGTTTTTTTCCTTACTTGTAACGGGCCGGGCCGGGCTTTAAGAACGCAAAACCGAAGTTTTTTTCAATCTTCAGCCGTTGAAAAACTTCAATGAATGCAAAAAAACAATGGTTGATTTTACAGGTTCGTGCCTGGAAAAAGTGGGTCAGAGAGGTCCAACATGCGATAGAAACATTGGCAGACGTACTTTCCGGTCCTAAACCCTCCTCCAACCACGACAACTGGTTTACTAACGACCCAAACGACTCTAGCAGAAACGTCTTCTCCGACACGTCCACCAACCACAACGATTCCAACAACAAGTGATGATGTAGATGATTTCACTGCTATCATAGCCTTGGTTGTATTTCTGATTCTTTTGGCCGTCAGTGGAATCGGGATATTTTTTTGCATTCGGTCTCGGAAAAAGAAAAAACAACAGGTAGCTTCTAAAACACGAGGAGGTTTAGGACCGGAAAGTACGTCTGCCAATGTTTCTATCGCATGTTGGACTTCTCATGACCCACTTTTTCCAGGCACGAACCTGTAAATCAA